ACACCGGGGCTGCCAGCGCCAGCGCCAGGATGAGGAGAAGGAGGACGAAAGAGGCGGAGCTGGAGGAGAACAGGGGGATCAAGAAGAGGAGAGCAGATTGCCGTCGAACGCTGCATGGACGCGAGTATGCAGTGTAGCACGTAATGCTGCATGGCGCAAGGTGGCATGGCACGACATAACGTCAAATGACATGACATGGCATGGCATGTGGTACGGCCAGAGGAGATACGATGCCGCACTGGGCCGGTATGGCGCGTCCGGTGTGGCACGTAGTCGTACCATCTGGCGTGACACGAGGTGACGCGCTGCGGCATGGCCTGGCATGGGTGCTATGCGCTCGAGAGGCCCGCCGGCAGTGACAGGAGATCCAAACACTCAAGTCAGGATCGCAGGTTCGGGGCCCTGTGGCGACGACTAGAGCTCTGAGCGTGCAGGACACGCTCTGAAGTCCGAAGGCCTACCGAAGAGCCCATACGTGCAGTAACTGATCGGAGGTGGCAACACACTGGAGCCCTCCTCCTCCTCCCGGAAGGATGCTCAAAGAGCAACGTGCGCGCGAGAATGCACTCTGGGCTCCGGCTGCATTCGAGAAGGCGAAATGTGGGAGCGCGGGGTGTCTGGCCCCTCCAGAGCTCCGAATGTGGCCGACACTGGCGGGATCCTCCCTCGCGCTGACTCCAGCATTGCGAAGACGGGGACCAGGCCAACATTGCCGCCTACGCCCGCGTGTACCAGCACCTGCAGGGCTTGGGCCGCAAGTGGCACGGGAGAGCAGAGCCGGAGGCGCGCAAGTCCCGGCAGAGGGGCGAGGGAACAGCCCGTAGGAGATCGCTCGTTGGGGACCTCTGGCGAGCTTCGTTGGGACCTCCGGCACGTCCCTCCTCCTGGACAGGTGAGGAGTGGCCCTCCGACAATTACTGCGCAGTGGAGCAGGACATTCAACCGAATAGCAGCAGTTCCTAAACCTGGGCTGGGCTGCACCACTCTCATCCTTCTCCTGCTCCTCCTCCTCCTCGTGTCCTCCTCCTCATCCTCCCTCTCCTCCTCCTCCTCCTCGTCCCTCCTCCTCCTCCTCCTCCTCCTCCTCCTCCTCCTCCTGTCCTCCTCCTCCTCCCCCTCCTCCTCCTCCTCCTCCTCCTCCTCCTCCTCCTCCTCCTCCTCCTCCTCCTGTCCTGTCCTGTCCTGTCCTGTCCTGTCCTCCTCCTCCTCCTCCTCCTCCTCCTCCTCAGCGTGCGCCCCCAAAATTTTCGGCGACCTCTTCAAGTCAGCCTGCCCGCGGCTTCCTCTCTACCAGGCAGGTGCCTTTACAGTCGGACTCGATTGGACAGGACACGCGAGGGGGCACAAGACCCTTCCGAGGGCCACATTGCTATGAGAATGCTGGGAGCATGGGGCGCGAGACGCAGGACACAAGGGTACCCTAGACTTGGCAGGGTCGACCTACTAATCTGGGCCGGCTGCACGAGGTGCTCCTCAATCGACGAACTGATAAGCTTTCCACGGAGTAGCAGCTGGTCGGGTGAACGGAGGATGAAGCCGACCACGGAGGCAAGCGGAGTGCATGAAGCTGAAGTCAAAGTTGCCCTACAGTGGAACTTCACTGCAAGCCCGAGCCAGAAAACTGGTGGAACAAAGCGTACCCTTCGAATCCCCTCGTCGACTGCCCTGTCAGCGTCCGCCCGAATTAGGCGAGCCGGCCACTTGAGAACCCTTGTGCTCCTTCGAAAGAACATTGGAGCAACATCGTCGCCCACTCTCGGTCAACGCTCTCGAAGTGCCCCAAGACTTCTGTGGGCCCGTGTGGCCTTCGCGAGCACCAGACGCTGTCGTGGGCCGCCTACTGGGAGGCCGTCGTCTCTCGTTCTGGTGTGCTTGCTGAACCCTGCGGCGGCCCCTGAGGTCCTCCATCTCGCGGTGAGGTGCGTCGACGAGCAGTCCCGCCGGCTGCCCAACCCGTTGCACACCACCAGGCTGCCGGGAAGCTGTCGGTGGGGTCGCGGACCATCGACTACAGCAGCTTGGACCGGCTCGAGAGGGCGGCGTTCTGGGAGGCTGGAAGAAGCCCTTCCCCATACTTGGTCCACCTCCTCCTCATCCTCCTCCTCCTCCTCCTCCTCCTCCTCCTCCTCCTCGTTGTAATGCGTCCACCTCATCCTCCTCTTCCTCCTCCTTGTGCGTCCACGTCCTCCCTCCTTTCCTCATCCTCCTCCTCCTCCTCATGCTCCTCTTCCTCTATGTCATCTTCCTCCTCCTCCTCCCACCCCTCCCTCCTGGAGACTTCTGACAGATGGTGAAAATCCGCCGACCCTGTCGGCGTGTGTGAGGGGCTTGCCTGTTCGAGTCGTCGACTCTGCCAGTCGTCGTCACTGCCGTACCCTTTCCCTGCGCCCTCCTCCGACAGCCAGAGGAACATCCAGCAACCTCGTGAGTCGCAGGGAAGCCCCTTCCCTTTGGACCCCACCCCCGTCGGGGGGGGGGGGTCCCAGGGGGGTTTGGCGGGGGGGGGGCCGCGGGGGGGGGGGTCCCGAGGAGGGAGGGGTCAGGTGCGCGTTCTGACCAGGACTTCGAGGCGACCCCGGCCGAGGCGACGAGGGAAGGGTATACGTAGCAGCAAGGGTGCCACAGACGCGCGGAGCGGCAGAAACCCCCCTCTCCCGCGGAGGGGGCGCAGGGGGGCGGCGCCGGAGGGGTCCTGCGCAGCAGGCGCAAGCAATCCGCGCGGACCTGCGACCGTCTGTGTCTGCGGTAGGGGCTCGACCGCAGGAAACCTTCCACAAGAAACCCAACGCTGTTGGTGCGGGGGCAGGAGGAGGAGGAGGAGGAGGAGGAGGAGGAGGAGGAGGAGGAGGAGGAGGGGGAGGAGGAGGAGGAGGAGGAGGAGGAGGAGGAGGAGGAGGAGGAGGAGGAGCAGGAGGAGGAGGAGGCTTGTCTCTGGATTCCAGGCGGTCGCCTCCCCTCCCCCGACGAGCCGGTGCACCCCCGCCGAGCCAGCGTCCCCGAGGAGAAACCTTCCACAAGAAACCCTTCCACAAGAACCGGTACGTCCATCGTTTGTTGGTGCGGGAGCATCGCGCCCTCCACAGCAAAGCCATCGAAACCCAAGAGACCCAGGGCACCCCGGAGGCAAGCAGGGTGCTTCTTGGCAGGGGCCCCCAACGGTACGCAGGTTGGTTCTTCTGCGAAGGGCCGCAGTAGCGCTGCACTGTCCGCATCTGGTGGTGTACCCCCCAGCCTCCCCCCCCCTCGGGGATCTCAATCCAGACCAGGGTCAGCAGAAAACCAAAAAACTGCAATGCAAGAAAACAAAACTGCAACGCAAGGCTTCGCAAACCCGGGTCAGCCAACATGCGCGGCCGCTCCGCGGCCACGAGCGGCTCCCTATAAGCTGGGTCAGCCATGAGGGGGTCTTCGCAGGATCTTGCAGGATCCCGTGCTAAAACAGGGCTAGGATCGGGATAAATCGCTCCAGAGCGTTCCGGAGCGCTCTCAGAGCGTTCCGGAACGCTCTGGAGCGGCCGCGGCGCCCAATACGTCCTCCAAACCCGCCGATCCTCAGAGATTTCGAGGTACCCCGACCCGATCTTGCCCCGACCTTCGCGTCGCTTGACGTGCCCCGGCTGACCCCCCGTGTGCACGGACGCCCCCCTCTCGAGGCTCCCGGCCCCCCCCCTCCTCTCGCCACTCCGCCGGCGGCCCCCCGCAGCCACCATAGCCGGCGAGGGGCGGCACGGCGCAGGGCGGCGGCGGCGAGGGGCGGGGGGCGGCCTCCCCCCCGGGCAGGCGACGCCCTGCTGCTTTCGAGACTCGGGAGCGGCCAATGGGGGGGGGGGTCCAAGAGCGGGGGGGTGCAAATCAGGACCGGCGGCACGTGCGCGGCCCAGCGGGGGGGCCAGGGACGTAATGGAACGAGAAGAGAAGGGGCGCCATGAAATCTGGGGAGATATCATGGCCCACGCCATGACATCCCCCCCCCCCCCTAATCATCACCCCCCTCTTTTCCGCCCCCGAGAGACGGGCTCCTCAGCAGTCCCAGCCCTCTCCCGGGGACCGGCTCTTTATCCGGAGCCCTTCTGTTGACATTGACGGCCTCCGGGGGCCCGATGCCGAGGGCCCCCCAGGGGCCGAAAGCGGCCGAACACCTGCCTTGCCATCGCTCGGACGGCCCTTCCCAGTGCCTTTTTCGGTTCCGCGCGTCTGTGTTCCCCGCGAGGTGATCCAGGATGCTCTCCGATGGCCCTCGCCGAGAGAAGTGCACACGTCCGAGCGATGCCAGACTCTCGCCCTGACTTCTTCGGCATGGGGGAAGCGGGTCCTGAGGGAAACGGGTCCTGGACCCTCGGGGCCTTCCCCCAGGACCAACTCTTCATCCTGAGACGCTCTCTGACAGTCCTGGGGCCCGTGGAGGGCCTCGGGAACCCCAAACTGGCGAAAAACCTGCGGCCCCGCTTCCCACATGGCGAGCCGCGCGAGCCTCCTCCTCCCCCAACCCGGGGGGGGGGCGGGCGCGAGGCGGCGGCGGCAGGGCGGCCCGTGGCTCTGCGGGGCTTGTGAGACAGGAGGGCAGAGGAGGCAGAAGGGCAGAGGAGGGAGGAGGGAGGGAGGGAGGGATGGAGCGGAGTGGAAATGGGAGTGGGATCAATGACGCAGTCATACTGGAAAAACACCTGTGAGCTCTTCGAATATTTGGGCCGCAGGCCCCGATTCAATCGGTCCAAGAACTCACGCCGTTTTCTGGAGATACGCCCTGGATGAGAGCAGGGGAGGGAGGGGCGGAGGGAGGGAGGGAGGGAAAACGAGGAGCAGATGGAGGAGGAGCAGGAGGAGCAGGCGGAGGAGGCGGAGGCGCAGGAGGGGGGGTCAGGGAGGTGAGAGGAGTGGAGGGAGGGAGGGGGGGAGAACGAGGAGAAGGAGTGGAGGGGGAGGAGGGAGCAAAATGAGGAGGAGGATACCGACGACGGCGAGGTCGAAAGGCGCAGGGCAAAGCGCACACGCCCGGCCACCACTTCGTCTTGAAGCAGCCGAGGGGGGGGGACAGGATGACGTACTCTGGGTCATCCTGGGCGGACTGGCCAGCAGCCCCGCTTTCTCCTCCTCCTCCTCCTCCTCCTCCTCCTCCTCCTCCTCCTCCTCCTCCTCCTCCTCCTCCTCCTCCTGTTGAGACCCGTGGAGGCCAGAAACGCCGAACCGTGCGAAACACAGCACGCCTGACGAGCACTTGCCGAACAAGGCCACACAAGCATGGCAACTGCCGCAAAACGCGTTTTGTCTCAAAACGGTACCGCTGACGGACAGGGGGACTCTCCCTTCTCAGAGTGTTGGTTTCATCGCTTCTGCCGTCGGCTGCTAAGCCTCTTGGGTATGTGGCTGCTCTTCCTCCGCCTACTCCTCCTCCTCCTCCTCCTTCTCCCCCTCCTCCTTCCACTCCTGTTGAGTCCCGTGGAAACCACAAAGGGCGAGCCGCGCGAAACACAACACGCCCGACAGCACTTGCACCAACAAGACATCACGGGTTTGCCAATTGTCGCAAGACGTTGCTTGTCTCAAGAAGGTACCGCTTACAGACAGGGAACGTGTGTGTGTGTGTGCGTGTGCGTGTGTGCGTGTGTGCGTGTGTGCGTGTGTAGGTGTGTGCGTGTGTGCGCGTGTGCGTGCGTGTGTGCGTGTGTGCGTGTGTGCGCGTGTGCGTGTGTGCGCGTGTGCGTGCGTGCGTGCGTGCGTGCGTGCGTGCGTGCGTGTGCGTGTGTGCGCGCGTGTGCGTGTGAAAGAGTGCGCGTGTGTGCGTGTGTGCGTGTGTGAATTTGTGTGTACGCGTGTGTGCGTGGGTGCGTGTGTGCTTGTGTGCGCGTGGGCGTGTGTTCGTGTGTGCGTGTGTCCGCGTGTGCGTACGTTATTGTGTGCGTGTGAGCTTGTGTGCGTGTGTGCGTGTGTGCGCGTGTGCGCGTGTGCGTGTGCGTGTGTGCGTGTGGGCATGTGTGCGTGTCTGCGTGCGTGTGTGCGCGTGTGTGCGTGCGTGTGCGTGTGTGTGTGTGTGTGTGCGTGTGTGCGTGAGTGCGTGAGTGCGTGTGTGTGTGTGTGTGTGCGTGTGTGCGTGTATGTGGCTGTGTGTGTAATGTGCGCCTGTGTGCGTATGTGTGTTGTGTGTGTGTGTGTGTGTGTGTGTGTGCGGGTGTGTGCTTGTGTGTGTGCGTGTGTGCGCGTGTGTGTGTGTGCGTGTGTGTATGCGTGTGTGTGTGTGCGTGTGTGCGTGTGTGTGTGTGTGTGCGTGTGTGCGTGTGTGCATGTGTGCGTGTGTGCGTGTGTGTGCGTGTGTGCACGCGTGTGTGCGTGTGTGCGCGTGTACGTGCGTGCATGTGTGCGCGTGTGTGCGCGTGTGGGCGCGTGCGCCTGTGCCTGTGTGCGTGTGCGCGTGTGCGCATGTGTGCGCGCGTGTGCGTGTGTGCGTGTGTGCGTGTGTGCGTGTGTGCGCGTGTGTGCGCGTGTGTGTGTGCGTGTGTGTGTATGTGTGCGTCTGTGTGTGTGCGTGCGTGTGTGTGTATGCGTGTGGGCGCGTGTGTGTGAATGTGTGCGTGTGTGCGTGTGTGAGCGCGTATGTGCGCGTGCGTGTGCGATTGCATGTGTGTGCGTGTGTGCGTGCGTGCGCGAGTGCGTGTGTGCGTGTGTGCGTGTGTGCGTGTGTGTGTGTGTGGGTTTGCGCGTGTGTGTGTGTGTGTGTGCGTGCGTGTGTGTTTGTGTGCGTGTGTGTGTGTGCGCGTGTGTGAGTGTGTGTGTGTGCGTGTGTGCGTGTGCATGTGTGTGCGTCTGTGTGCGTGTGTGTGTGCGTGTATGTGTGTGTGCGTGGTGTGCGCGTATGTGTGTGCGTATGTGTGCGTGTGTGTGCGTGCGTGTGTCCGTGTATGCACGTGTGAGTGTGCGCTTGTGTGCGCGTGTGTGCGCGTGTGTGTGTGCGTGTTTTTGTGTGCGTGTGTGCGCGTGTGTGCGTGTGAAAGAGTGCGCGTGTGTGCGTGGGTGCGTGTGTGCGCTCGCGTGTGCGTGTGTGCGTGTGAATACGCTTGGGCTCGCGTGTGCGTGTGTGCGCGTGGGTGCGCGAGTGCCTGTGTGCGTGTGTGCGTGTGAGCGTGTGCGCGCGTGCGCGTGCGCGCGCGTGTGTGTGTGTGTGCGTGTGCGTGACTACGTGTGTGTGTGTGTGTGTGTGTGTGTCTGTGTCCGCATGTGTGTGCGTGTGTGCGCGTGTGCGCGTGTGTGCGTGCGTGCGTGTGTGCGTGTGTGCGTGTGTGTGCGTGTTTGCGCGTGCGCGTGTGTGCGTGATTGCTTGCGTGCGTGTGCGTGTGTGCGTGTGTGCGCGTGTGCGCGTGTGTGTGTGTGCGCGTGTGTGAGTGTGGGTGTGCGTGTGTGTGCGCTCGTGTGCGTGTGAAAATGTGTGCGCGCGTGTGCGTGTGAGTCTGTGTGAGTGCACGTGTGTGTGTGTGTGTTTGTCTGTGGGTGTGCGTGTGTGTGTGCGGGTGTGTGCGTGCGCGTGCGTGTGCGTGTGTGTGCGTGGGCGTGAGTGTGTGCGTGTGTGTGTGTGCGCGTGTGCGTGTGCGCGTGTGTGTGTGCGTGTGTGTGCGTGTGTGTGGCGGGTATGTGCGTCCGTGAAATTATGCGTCTGTGTGTGCATGCGTGTGTGCGTGTATGAGTGTGCGCGCGTGTGCGTGTGTGCGTGTGTGCATGTGTGTGCGTGTGTGCGCGAGTGTGCGCGTGCGTGTGACTGAATGTGTGTGTGCGTGCGTCTGTGCGTGTGTGCGTGTGTGCGTGCGTGCATGTGTGTGCGTGTATGTGTGTGTGCGTGTGTGTGTGTGTGTGCGTGTGTGCGCGCGTGTTGTGTGTGTGTGCGTGTGTGCATGTGTGCGTGAATGTGTGTGTGTGTGTGTGCGTGTGTTTGTGTGTGCGCGTGCGTGAACGTGTGTGCGTGCGTGTGTGCATGTGCGCATGTGTGTGCGTGCGTGTGTGTGTGTGTGCGTGTGCGCGCGTGAGTGTGCGTGTGTGTGTGTGTGCGTGTGTGTGTGTGTGCGCGTGTGTGCGTGTGTGTGCGTGTGTGTGTGTGCGTGTGTGTATGCGTGTGTGCATGTGTGCGTGCGTGTGCGTGTGTGCGTGTGTATCCGTGTGTTGTGTGTGGTGTGTGTTGTGTGTTTGTGTGTGTGCGCGTGCGTGTGTGTGTGCGTGTTTGCGTGTGTGTGTGTGTGCGTTTGTGTATGTGCGCGTGTGTGTGTGTGTGTGCGGTTTCTGTCTCTTCAGCCACCTGCTGCTGCTGAGCCTCCTTGGTCTGTCGCTCCTCCTCCTCCTCCTCCTCCTGATCCTCCCTTCTTCCGTCTTGCTTCGTCCACCCGACAACATGTTCCCTTTTGTTCCGTCGCCTTCCTGCTCCCTCCCTCCCTCTCTTCCCCCATGCCCATCCCTCTCCTTCCCTCCCCTCTTCTCCTCCTCCCCCTCCCCCCTCCTCATCCTCCTCCTCCTTCTCCTCCTCCTCCTCCTCCCCTCTTCCTCTCCCCCTCCCCCTCCTCCTCCTCCTCCTCCTTCTCCTCCTCCTCCTCCTCCTCCTCCTCCTCCTCCTCCTCCTCCTCCTCCTATTCCCCCCCTCCCCTCCTCCTCCTCCCTCCCCCCTCCCCCCTCCCCCTCCCCCTCCCCCTCCTCCTCCTCATTCTCCTCCTCCTCCTCCTCCTCCTCCGCATCCTTCTATTCCTCCTAATCCTCCTGTCGCCCCCCTTGCTTCGTCCTTCCCCTCCTGTTCCATCGCCTTCCTGCTCGCTCCCTCCCTCCCCCCTCCCTTCAGCCGGAGGAAAGGAAAGGAAGGGGGTGACAACGATGAGGAAGGACGCGGGCCCACAAAAACGGCCCGCGTTGGGGCGAGAGCGCCATTCTGAACGCTGAGGGCAAAGTGCCGGCCCGAAGACGAAGCCACCGCCGCAGCGGCAACACCGCTTTGAGAAACTGTAAGCGCCCCGATTACAAACAGCCGTGTGCAAAAAGCAATGCCTGGGAGATGCACGGTGACCTTCGCCACTGGCATTCGGTGCCAACCACTGCCACTGGCATTCGGTGCCAACCACTGGAAAACAGGATGGGCAGGCATAAACAACCCAGTGCATGCTAGCCTTACTTGTCCTGCCCTTGCTGGATAGGTTTCCTCTTAATTCCGGGGTCAATGACTTCCCCTCTTGGTGTGACGGCGCACGGCCGGCTTGCCCGGCAAGCCCTGAGGTGCATCTCTTGTAGCCCCTTCCCACGCGCGCCCCCACCCCCGGCCCACTCCGTCCCGACCAACCCTGACCTACACATCTAACGCAAGTCTGGCACTGTGCACGGATGGAGGGCAGTCTGAGGGATGAGGGAGGAATCGATAAAGAGGAAGCACTGCCCTGCTTCTGACAAGGCTTTAGGCCAGTGCTTCGACAAGGCATGGCGACTACTTCTAGCAAGTCGTCTCCCATGCAAGGCCTTCTGGGAAAAAGAAGGCTCGCTGCCCAACAATGCAAGACTATCGGGGAGCCTGCTTGCCCCAAATATCAGTGCACTGACTGCCTGGCTCGGTTGGCCTTCTAGTCAGAACCATGCGGATTATACCGCACATGGTGAAACCTGCAACCAAAGTCTGCCCAAGGTCTTCCTAGGCCTTGGCGAAAACATGATGGAGAAGCTGGGATTCTACGGAAAACCGTGCTATCCAATTATGAGAGAAGATGTGATGACGTTGTAATTTTCGTTGGTTGCCGTAGCCGGAAGTCGTTCCCCAGGGATGTTCCCACTCTCATGTTCTTTCCACACAAACGACGCCGCAACCTATATCATATCCAGCGAAGCCATTGTCATGAAAGACTCTTCCCTCGTTTGGTTCCCGCTGGGCTCCGTGTCCTCGGAAAGCTGCCGTTCGGGTCCACTGTTCGAGCCGTTTGACCTCGGCTCGTGGGTTCTCTAGCTGGTCTGTCGAGGGCTGGGTGCGGGATCCCTGCAGGTTCGATAAGAGTTCTTCAAGCCCGCCTGCTGAAGGAGCACTCTCACTGGCCAACTGAGGCTGGTCTGCAC